ATCCAAAAATTTCTGCTTCTCCACCACTACCATCAACATCACCACCATGATGTCATCGCTACCATCATCGCCACCTCCACGTCACCGCATCATCACTGCCACCACCGCTTCACCCACTGCCATCACCACCACCACTACCATCACCACGCCACCGCCACTATCACTATCACCATTACCATCACCGCCACCACAACGCCATCACCATCATCATCACTATCGCCGCCACCACTACTATCACCACCACCACTGTCACCACCACCACCACCATGCCGCAGCCACTATTGTATCATGCCACCGTCACTACCACCATCGTCACCACTATCACCATCCCACCATTATCACCACCATCGTCGCAGCCACTGTCGTCACCATCACCACCTTCACTACCATCACCATGTCACTGCAGCCGCCACCACCGTCGCAGCCACTACCGTCACCACCACCACCACGCCACCACCACCACCGTGCCACAACCACCACCATACACAAGAAAAGGAAAGTGATGATCCGAAATTTTTTTATGCTTAATAGGAATGATTTTTTATTATATTATTTATTGTATTATCAAACACAATTCTCATTCTCGGAATATAGATAGAACATGTTATCAAACACATTTTTTTTCTTCTCAGAAGCTGTTCCCAAGCACAGAAATAGAAAAGAACTATCTCTTTTCAGAAATAGTGCCAAAGAACAAAATGGTCGTCATGTACACTCTTATTTTACTTTTTTGTTTATTTTTTTTAAAATCTCTTCTACCAAACATAAAGACTTATTTTGTTAAAAGGTGATAAATACAAGAGAGAAATCATGTGTGTTATTTAATACAGAGATTTTGGGTGTGCATGACAATTATTATGTTCCTCAACACTAATTTTATGCCTTGGAAGAGTTTTGAGAATCAGAATTACATTTGTTAACACATTTTGTTTTGTTCCTCAACACTAATTTTATTTTTACTAACAAAATTGAATTTTCAAAAGCTTGTGAGAGGGAGTATGTGTTGGCTTCTCCTTCTTCTGCTTCCTCTCTTCCTCTTCGACCATTTTACTCTGCAAAATCACACTTTTCATTTTTTATTTTATTTTTCTTAATACTTCATTGTTGTTTTCTCTCTCTAAATTCTCTGCAATTTTTCCCTCTCTAGAACTCTATTTTATTATGTGCTGCGATTGGATCTAAGAACCTTTGAATTTTTGAAACTGTTCTATGAACTCAGAGTTTGAGTCTCGAGATGTGAAATTGATGGTCGCTATTTGTGGTTTGTGAAACTCGGTGAATTTGAGCTCTTTTTTTTTTTGAAATTATTAGGATTTTTTGAGGGAATAATAATCGCAACCGGTGGTTTGAAGGAGGAGGAATTTAGAATTTGTTGTGAAAAAATAATTTAATTTTTGTTTTTTTGCGTCTTTCTTGGTGGAAGGTGAAGGTCACTTGTAAGAACTCACACCGTTAAATTAGGAAATTAATTAATTAATTACGAGAAATTAGAAAATAATTCCATAATTGACCCTAATAATTATGAGGAGGCTTCAATAATTATAGAATGTTATTAATAATGCTGAAAGTCGCTTTTCTGACGAAAAGTGCGGATACCAGTTCTGCTACTCGGTATAAATGCAGAGTACCTTGTTGGCTATTTAGGCACATTCTGAGGAAGAGGAAGCATCTAGTGATTTTGAACAGAAAGTGAAGCCAAGGAGCAGTAGCAACAACTCAGGGGGAGTACCAACAAAGAAGACAAACAAAGGAGAAATAATTCTAGTAAAAGAAAAACAAACTCTCGTTGATGTTCCAGAAAAGCAAAAGAAAGAAGATATTATGGAGAATGAGCAAAGTGAAAAACCAAAAATTACTTGGTCAAATTTAGCAGAGATCATGCATGTATCGGAGATGCCACAAACACCGATAAAGATTGTTTATCTTCCACTATTCCCGAAGCCACCAGACAAATATGTTTCACAAAACATGTTTCATGTAAAGTCAAATTTGAGAGGGAGTGTTAGAAATCAAGTTTAAGGGGGGTGTTGAATAAATAAACTATTTAGTTTTTTGGTTCATTGGGCTTAGTATATATTTAGCCCAACATCTAGAATTATACTTTAGGAGTTAGTTTAGCCCAAGATCTAGAAATTTCTGTTCTAGTCAATTCCAGGAAAGTTCTAGAGAGTAGTTGCACCTACCATTATTAATAAGGGTAGTTGCACCTACCATAATTAATATTTGTACTAGGCTAGTATAGAAAACTCTAGAATTATTTGGAGCCATTGTTTTGTGGAGGTGCCACTAGTATAAATAGGGGGTCATCTCTATCATTTTGTATTAAGCCATTAAGCCAAAAAGAAAAAGAGTTGTGTAGTAATAAAGTGTTCTCTTCCTCCATATCTTTCTATAACCTTTACTTTTCTCAAAAATCCTCCTCCCAACAGCAACAGGTAGGGTTGGAAAAACGGGCCAACCCGGCTCAACCCGACCCAACCCGCGTTCAACCCGAAAAAAATGAGTCGGGTTAGGGTTGGCTCGAAAAATAAACGAGCCAGAAAACTCAACCCAACCCGACCCGAGTCGGGTTAGGGTTGGCTCGCGGGTTGACTCGGATAAATAGAAAAAAATTTCCATTGATGCTGTAACTTCTAAATTTTTTCCCTAAATTATTAATTCATTCAATACAAAGGCATTATACTGATAAACCATAGAAAATTTTGCATTTGGACTTGGACTTATTGGCAGTTGGTACCACATTCACATTGTCACACATACTATAAAAAAGGTCTTTAATGCACGCTTTTGAACTTATTGGCAGCTGGAGAATATTTTTGTTTGGGTCTTTGGAATTGGAATTTTAGATTTTAGCTTTCCACTTTACCTTCATTAAATTTTATACTTTTATATTAAAACAAAAACCATAACCCGCGAGCCAACCCGTTTGACCCGTGGGTTGGCTCGGTTTTTTTCGAGCTGAAACGAGTCGGGCTGACTCGAGTTACTAACTCATTTTTCCTAACCCAACCCGGCTCATTTTAGCCGAGTTACGAGCCAACCCGATGGGTTGACTCCTTTTTGCCAAGCCTAGCAACAGGTGATTGTGATGTTGTTACCGTCGCATACACCTTATCCTTCGGTTAAGATTGAGTGAGTTGTTGAAATTGTGTGAATATCGCTATGGTTCAAATGATTTACTACCTGCTTGTTTTTGAAGTCTTGATAGTGTGTTTCATGGGAAAACTTGAAATTTGTTTGCGAAAAAAATGGTCTTTTGAGAGATAGGGTTGAGAGTGGCAAATGAAAAAAGAAAAACAGAAAAGTGATTCTCTTTTTGTGCCTTGGAACGGAAAAGCAAAAAAAAATTATTTCTTTTTTTATTCCCCAACACAAAAATTAAACTGCTTCATTCGGAAAAAAAAAACCAATTTTATCAACCACTGTTTCTATTCCCGGGAACATAAACCTAAATAAAATTGATTCCCGGATAGTTGTCTTGGATACCTTTTGTTTCATCTTGAGTAATGATCACGAGTTTGAGTCTTACATACGTAGTTATGCTAAAATTTGATATACAGAATTTTGTTGCCCAATCTTATTTAACTCGAATTCAAATTAGTCCGCGCATATTGACAAACTGATTTATATAAAAAATGTTGAACGATCTTAAAAAGTAATTTTCTAAACAGTAATCTTCAACCTACAGTAAAATAGAATTTTGTCTATTGTTTTTTTTTGGTAAAAATTTTGTCTATTTTTTCTATTTATATAAATATAAGTATAAATTAATTTCTTTTTTACATTTTCATCTACTTAAGTAAACGCATTTTATCGAGTTATATTCATATTATTCGTGGGAAATACTAGTAACCAAAGAATAAAAAGAGTTCGTTTAGCTACTAAGAATCAAACTATTCACTTAAAAGGTCCATGTATTATTTACACTTTTAGTGATACCAATATTTTAAATTTAGAAAGGGATAGCCGCTTCACACTCTTAAAAATAAAATAAAAAATAAAACTGTGAGGAGATAAAGAACTCAACCACAACACAACCGTATGAAAAAATAAGATCAATGTAATAAAACTTCTCTTAACACATTTAAGTATCTCATTTTCTAGTGTTTTAATTTTTTTTTTAAATTGAGACGAAAAATATATGTTGTTGGTTTGTCAAAGAAATATACTAAAATGACAAGTTAATTAATATATGCTTGAATTAATTTATTTTATTTTTAATATGATTTATAATTAAAATTTAAATAATTTTTTTTTACAAATATTAACTAATCCAGACATGCACTACACTGTAATTTGGGGGAAACTTATTCAAAAGCTGTGCACGAATTATGATCTGTTTGGATGAGTTTTTTTTTCTTTTCGAAAGCTGTTTTTTTTTTTTTAAAAAGCACTTCTCGTTTTTAGTTCGTTTGAATGTTTGCTTTTAAAAAAAATAGAAGTCACAAAAAAAGTTAAAAACCTACTTTTTTTCATAAGCTAAAAATTTTAATTTCTAAGAAAAGCAAAAGTCAAAAGTCAAATATTTTTTTAAAAAAATTAAATATTTTTATAAAAATATAAATAGCTTTAGCTTTTGTAAAAAGTACTTTTAAAATAAGAAAATAATAAAAGTTACTTTTTTTTAAAAGCGCAAACAAAACAGAAGAAAAATCCATGATTCTCCTTAATTTCTTGAAAGCGCCCATTAGTGCGATTTTCGCGGCCAACCGATTAGAATCGTAAGAGGCATCGCATAATCCAAATACGTTGAATCACTCATGTTATGATTTTTTACATTCTTGTTCTTCCTGTTCTTTTATTAAGCTTATGTTTTTCATACAACATTCATACCGAATGATTCTTGAAATTATGTCCCCACTACCACATAGTACGCGATATCTCTATTTTTCCACGGGGCATCCTTAGAATTACCCCTACTTATTTCCCTCTATTCATAACCTTTGTTTCTTATTTGTTATCTCATCTTATTTCCTATTTAAATTCATTCCTGAAATAAATTTCAATGCCACATCCTTAACAAGAAGATATTATTTAATTACATATGAACCAAAAGTTACATTAGAACATAACAAATGTGGGAAGAAACCACTTTGCAATGTTCATCCATTTGGGAACCAGTAGGGAGCCATTGCTCATTGACTTGTTACTCATTCACCAAAGTCTAAACAGAAGATCCAAAGACTACAAGATAGAGAAATACTGTATACCACGGAAAATTCAATCACACCATGACCAAATGGCTTGATCTTCCTCCGGAATTCCAAAATTACATGAGCCATGAGGCAGGTAGGAGTAATCAACATCTTCAAGTTTGGGAAATATGCATAGAGGCAATAGGGTCTTGCTCAAGTTATCTTCTTCATCCTGAGACAGATCAGAGTGATCAGGTTCAAACACATAGGAAGAATCACCGGTCTGCAGCAACCTTATCTCTGAATCAAATATGTCACTCTTGGCTGAACTTATGTCTTCCTGATTACAACTCACAATTGACACTTCTTCTGATCCTTCACCCTCCCAAGCTGAATCAATCAAAGGCTTTTCCAATGGCTCCACCAACCCATTTGTTTCAGCTTGTTCAACGTTTGCCTCTCCTTTCTCTCTTCCAAGCACCTTCTCGGTGAGGTTTGCCACCTAAATTGAAAGATCACAAAAACATTTCCATGAATGATACAAAAGGGGTATTGTTGTTGAGTTCAACTAGTCAAAAAGTGACACTCATTTACCTCGGTTTTCAATTTATCTTTCTCCCTGAGAAGGTTATCATAGTTGGCCTTAAGATCGTTATAGCTAGCTTGAAGGGAATCATAATCCTTCTCCAACTGTTTTGTCTTGCAGCGTGCTCGGCGGTTCTGAAACCAAATCGCCACTTGCCGGGGCTGCAAACCAAGCTCCATGGCTAGTCGTGTTTTTCTTTCGGGTTCGAGCTTGTTCTCCTGATCAAAGCTTTTCTCGAGAAAATGCACTTGGTCCACGGAGAGCCGACGCTTCTTCTGATCAGGTTGATGAAAGTAGTCATCCATGTCTTCATCTCCAGTTTCATCAGGATCATAAGGGCGGAAGAACGAGCCACTACACCCCTTCCCTCCTTTAACATCTTCGAAGCTCATCATAGATCTTGAACCTGTACAAATAACCAAAAATAATAATTATGTCAAAAAATAAAATAATAATAATAACACACTCCTAAGTCCTATTCTATGCACCTATGTTGTAGTATTGTTTTGTAAATTCACTCTGGGTGCTCAGTTGACCCAATTACAACTTTGGAATAGTGCATGTGGTCCTTTTACTTTTAATTAATGTTCTGAATCTTGATTTCGGATCGCTTTAATTAACGTCCTCAGAGTTGCTTTTGTTGCAACTTGCAAGCCTGAATAATACAGAGCAACTCAAGGACTAATTAACAAAGCAAGTGAAGGAGAATCATGCGGCGAGGTTAACAAAGAATAAGAAAGCAGAGAGACCCATGATTAACCATAAAAATTGCAGTGAAATTCACAATAATAAAAAAACTGTGTAGTAGAAAGTCAACAACAAAACAGGATACGAGGAAGCAGAACAAACAACATTAAAAAAACCGAAGTAAGTAAGAGCAGAGAGAGAGATTACCGAGGAAAGGAGAAGAAGAGGTAGAAAGAAAAAGAGAATCAAGAGGTTGAGAAGTGCAAGGAGCAGTTTGATTCGGAAGCAAAGTAGTGAAATTGGAAGCATTTGCAGGACCACAGCAAAAGACTCTCCCAGCAGCCATATCAGACGGTGTTATCATTAATCTAGCAAACCATAAGAGGTGGTAAAAATAATAAAATATTGAAATAAAGAAAAGATCTAAGGTTTATGGCGAAAGAAGCTGGTGATGATGAGGGCTGTTATGTGCGATGTATGAGAACAGCAGCAGGGCACACCCATCACTTTCAGAAGAATAAGAAGAGAAGGGAATGGAATTGGAGAAGTAGATTGGAATGGAATGGAACGGAATGAGAATAATAAATTGTAGAGAGAGATAAATGGACACCGAGATAGATGGACACTTTCCTTTATCGTGGGACTTCGGAGAAGAAGAGAGAATCCTGGGTTTATAATAAGCACATTCACTAAGATGGGAGTGTCTACTTTACCAACATACCCTTTTACACTATCTAAATTCACCAATAAACAATGGGTTTGATATTTATCATTTTAAATGGAGAGATAGACATAAGGAATGAAAATCATGTGAGAGAAAGTGGATGGGTTTTTTTTAATTTAAATTTTAAATAAATTTTTTTTATTTTGTGTCTATTTCTCTCTTAAAATGACATAACTTAATGTCATTTAAAATGACAAATATTTTTTCCATAAACAATATTTCAAAAATTTAATAGGTGATTGAATAAGGAAAAATAACAAAAATGTTTGTCATTTTAAATGATATAAAATTATGTCATTTTAAGAGAGATAGATATAAAAAAATGTTTTTTATTTAAAATTTAAATTTAAAAAAATCACTCCATTTATCTTCCATGATTTTCATTTCTTGTGTCTATCTCTCCTCTAAAATGACATAACCTATGTTATTTAAAATCACAAACATCAAACCCGAAAAACTATTACTTTATACTTTTCTAGCAAATATACACCAATATGTTAGGAGAAAACAATGTCCGTGCTTGGTTTTTTTATTGTCATGCAAGCATAAAAGATGTAATGAATTATCCGCACCTTGGCTGATAACCTCTAAATGCATATCATGTATATTGCATACAATATGTTGCTATGTATATTCTAGCAATTTCAACAAAATTTTAGAAACACTAAGTTGAAGGGAAGACTTGACAAAACCAGACAATAAAGTTGAGTTTAAATATTCAATTCACAATATACTATTGAAAAGCACCGATTTCAGAATAATTCCGTGAAATTTGTCTTAGTATACATAGATAGATTGATGTCATTTGTAAAGAAAAATTCTCATTAGTGTTATTTGTCTTCATCTTAAAATGAAGTAAAACTCTTTGTAAACTTCATCAAACTATGAAAAAAATGAAACGAAACCTCAACAAGTTTGTAATTCAATTTACATAAAATTCCGTTGGATTTGAATCCCCGGAGTTATTACAACCAATTAAAAAAAACAACAACTAATTAACATAATCAAGTTAATTCTCACATGTAAGGCTCGCATATTTTCTTTCTCTTTCTCTCACTGCACCTTGTAGTATAAGATCCAGATCTAGTTTAGTCTTAATTCAGATGTTCAATACATTATCAAGTTAATTGTTTTATTATTATTCAAGGTTTTACAAGTTTTTAATGGTACGCAAGTTTTAGCTGTTTAATATTTTAACAAAATGGGAGAGGGAGTACAAAGCCGACCCTAGTTCTCAGTTCCCCTTTTCAGTGTTTTTTCACCCTTCGTGTTACTTTTGTTCATTCTCTTGGGTGTTTCTCAAATAAAGGAAGAGAAAAATATTTGCCATTCTAAATGACACAAAGTTATATCATTTTTAATGAAACTACGTCGTTTTGGTAAGTTTTTACATTCTCTCTCCTTCATTTTATTTTTATTTCTAATTTTATAAATTAAAAAAAAATGATAAAACACACCAAAACGACGTAGTTTCATTAAAAATGAGATAAAGTTGTGTCATTTAAAATGACAAACACTAAACCCATAAAGAAATGTTACTCTCTCTTTTGGTGGCAGCTCTTTATATATATATATATATATATATATATATATATATATATATATATATATATATATATATATATTTCTAGTTCATGAAATAAATTTTCAAATAAATTCATTTAAAAATTTTAATTATGATATCTTTTGGATATACATAATAGTTTAGGAGTTAAAATTTTAAAATTTTATTTATGTATTGGTAAATATAAAACTGTTATGTACCAAAAAAATAAATATATAAAACTGTTATAATTGGTTTTCTTATATATTTATCAAACTTTATTTTTAAGAAACAGTGTATACTATGTGAAACCTCTTTTGGTAATGAAAATTTGCATCATGGGGTGTCAAAACGGGTCGACACGACACGAATTCGACACGACACGAATACATCAACACTAACACGACACGAATTTTTATTCGTGTCAAAATCTTCAACACTGACACGACACGAATTTTTTGCGGGTTGACACGACACAACACAAATAACACGCAAAATATGAGTCAAAATGATAATTGACAAAAAAAAATTTAAAAAATGGATCGATATTAAAAAAAATTAAAAAAATAATAATAAAAAATTAAAAAATAATAATTTAAAAAAATACGGGTCGACACGAACACAAATACATCAACACTAACACGACACTAATTTTTGACGTGTCATTTTTCCCAACATGAACACGACACGAATTTTTTTGCGGGTCAACCCGAACACGAATTTTCGTGTCGTGTCACGAGTCAACCCGCATGTCAAAACTTATATTGACACCGCTAATCATGATCACTATTTTATAGATCAGAGCAAAGTATCGGTTAATTTTAAGTGAAGATTATATTTATTTCTTAGTAGATATTATACATTGTAAGTGATACAAACTTTTTTTTGAATGAATGAAAGAATTCAAGTTTAAGATAAAAAGTAAGGGCATATTAAATTTGTTAAAATATATTTCTAAAATAAATATATTTTTACATTAAATAAATATGTATTCACTTTTAGATGATTTAGTAAATTATGATTATGAGGAGGATATTTATACTGTTACTTTTTTCCACTACCAAATTCACGACCTCTCTAATCATTGTTAGATTAGTATTTTTTGTCTGAAAAATTTATGCAGAGAAAAAAAGAAAAAAATTAATATTATAACTATATATTTCATAGAATATAGTAGATGATAGTGAAAAAAGTGATAATATGAATATCCTATGATTATTATATATTTTATAAAGAGAAAAATATTTCTACTTTTAATGCAGAAATTTTTTTTATGTCATATTCACGTAAAAGTGAGTAGATTCTATTATAATGAGAAGAAAGAGAAAATGTTAATGATATACAAAATGAAATCCACTCACTTTTATATGAATATGACAAAAAAAAAATATGCAATAAAAGTAGAAATATTAAACCCTTTTATAAATTTAAAATAAATATAACAGGAAGTCTTTCCGGTAATTTTTTTTTTTTTATAACTTTCCAGTAATTATTTAAGGGGGATTGTTTTGGTTATATTGCATAATAATAAAAATCTTCAAATAAATATATAATAAAGAGAGAGAAAAGAAAAGAAAAATTAAAGTGGACCTATCGTGAGATTTGTGTAAGCACAAATATTGCTTTTTCTTATGCAACTTAAAAAATATAATCCGTTAAATAATTTTTTGATTGTCTCTGACTTTTTGGTATTTACAAACGTGCTGGGTCTCCTGCCGCTTGCTCGACTTGTTCATATCTGATTGGGCCACCTTGACGGCCCACCAACCAAACGTGTCACTTTCAATTTATTACTTTATTATTATAATTTACTATAAATCATTTTTGTATGGTCTCTGACACACATCTCTTTCTCTAACGTGGCCTTTCGATTTGGACTGCTCCTCTCAAATCAAATCAGCCGTAACCGAACGCTCAACCTTTGGGTGTTGATTAATTATAATTTTTAAATAATGACACTTTTGTATATATTTTATCTACGTCACAAATGTATATCTATATATATATAAAAATATTTCTACAGGCATTTTAGATAAGGTTATCTATAGCTATCTCAAAAATTATGTCATTTTGATTAATGAAAGGTGTTTTTGTAATTTTAGGTAAATTAATAAATGGTATTTTAGTAAAATATACATGACAAAAAAATAAAATTACGAAAAAACCTTTCATTAATTTACTTAAAATTACAGAAACACCCTTAATTAATCAAATTGACGTAGTTTTTGAGATAACTGTAGATAATCTTATCTAAAGTGGCTGCAGAAATATTTACCCATATATATATATATATATATATATATATATATATATATATATATATATATATATAAGGATCATTTTACACTAGTGTAAGACTATTTCAATCGTTGATTTCCATTCATCTAACAATTATAATTAGGAAGTCATACGAATTAATTAATATTAATTAATCATTAATTACACTACAAATACCAACCGATGATTTCTGTCCATCAACGGTTGAAATGTGGTGTAAGACTTGTTAGTCGTAGTTAGTCTTACACCGGTGTAAAAAGAACCAGCCCCTATATATGTTTGGGGTAGGATCATCTTACACTAGTGTAAGATTTTTACTCTTACACTCCATCTGAACCGTGCATTGCACTTTAATCCAACGGCCACGACTTCAAAAAAAATAGTAGGCACGTGACTCCAACTGTCATCTTTACCTCGTTCTTCTTCTTTGAACTTCTCCATTTCTGCTCATTTTTTTCTTTTCTCATTGACGTTACAACTTCTGAACGAAACATACTCACTTCTTGGTACCATGGCAACTGGAACCATCTCTCCTCTCTTCTGGAGTTGGAGACTCGCGTGAATTCTTCGCATTTACCGTCGTTACCCAGCGAATGAATCTCGCTCTACAAATTCTTTTGACTTATGCTTTTGGTTGTAAATCTCAGAGTGAATGTGATTTTTTTCACCCTAACAACAAGAAATTCTTTTTTTTTCTTTTATTCATGTTGCAAGAATCTATGTGATGAGGTTTGGGTTGAAGATTTATAATATTTATTTATTTTTATTATTTTTCTTGCATAGACTGGATTTTTGGTGTTGGGAAGGTTTAATGTTTTCTTTTTTTTCTCTCTTAATAATAATGGTTTCGTTTTTGTTTAAGTTGTGAATTTTAAGTCATGGGAGGGGGAAAATGGTTTTTTTTTTCTTTGAAATTTTATGGTATAACATCAATTGAATCTTTTGAGGTTACTGGTACTGTTAGTCTGTAATATCAATTTGGGATGGATCAAGATAACGTGAAAACATGTTACACTTTTTTACTGGTATACTTCAATTTTATCTACTATGCCATTAAGTGCTTAAAGTCTACTATATTAAACGTCGTTCCTATTGTTTTACCCTCTGATGTCGG